AAGGTTTTTATTTTTTAAAATATCATTTTATTTACCATTATATATTTTTTAATAATTAAAAAAAAATTAAAAAATAAAAATAAAAAGATAAAATAGGGGTTATAAGATATCATGGGGATAATGCAAGCATACAGAAAATAGAGATATTGACCCATAATCCAAACATAAAAACAAATTAATAAAAAGATATCAAAAAGAGAGAGGAGGGTGTGATTAGCGCAGGGCCTAAAAGAAGGCCTAATATGCGTTGTCGGCTCAGTCAAAGGTGTAGCAAGGGAGTCAATAGGATGACTCAACCTTGTCCACTAGATCCAATGACAACAAGATCTCAAGGGCCAGATTAGGTGGGCGCATGGTAAGTAGTGTGGGGTGACCACGTGGTATCCCTGGTAAAGAAGACGAGTATGCAAATCCATAGGCTCAGGTTGAGCCACGTGCCCAGTGGCTAGGAAACGGTGGAGATTGAAATGCAAGGGAGTCATCACATGAGTGTCATTCTCTCTCTCTCTCTCATCACTGTTCTCTCTCTCTCCTAAAACATAAATCTCTCGCGCTTTTTCGGATCAAAAATATCAAAACGATGAACACGCTGATGAACGTTCAAATGTTCATCATCCATTTTCCGAAAACAAAAATTTTCGCCCCTAACATGAAACAAACTACATGAACCCTACCTTAAATCTCTCTCTCAACGCAAATATAAAAGCAATTAAAGCAACAAACACTAATACATAGAGATCAAACATCATCCCCAATTGAACCTTAATCCCCAAATTCCATTATTTATCAACGATTACAAGCAAATTACAATAATTAAAGGTAAAAGCAATCAAATACAAGGAAAAATTCAAGTGGAACGCAAGAGAAGAGCAAGAGAAACGGGCTCACCAAAAACTGGCGTTTTTCGCTGAAAATTTTTTGAGGGAGTTGGATGAAAGGCGTGAGCAGGGGGACTCGTGACTGATGATGCAAAGGATGGCATGATGATCCTCGTGAGATGACATGGAGATGCAGGGAAAGCAATTCGTGACTCATTCCATGTTCAGATTGTCTTTCCTTTCTTTTTTTTATTTTCAATTTTAATGGATGTATGTATGATGATGTGAGTGTATTGGATGCATGTTGTAAGGTTAAAGCAATGCAATGTAATTCATTTGGAATGAACTCAAGTCAAGTTAATCCAAATTATTTTTTCTATTCTTTTTGAATTTTCAATTGAATTGTATTTTGTGTGTTGTGTGTATGTATGAAATGTTGATATGATGGATATGTTGCATGGTTGTATGTTAATGACAACAATTTAATTAATTCACTTCTCACAATTTCCTCATTTCCTTATGTTATGTAATGCTTATATGTGCATCATGAAGTACAAATGGCATGATTGTGCTAGTAGTGTAATTCATGCTTGAGATGATCAAAAGAAAAACTTTATTTGTGGATTTTGCTTCATGGCTTGATGTAGTATGTTCATGACATTTCAAAATGCAATAAACATATTCAAAGTAATCCAAACTCATGACCATGTAACAATTGTAATGCAATAAAACAAAACTTCACTTTGATTCAATTCTATTTTAACTCAAGCTTCTGTGTGCAAAATGTGATTCAAGGCGTTGCAAATAACCACATCCAAATCAAATTTGAAATATGCGATTTCTTCCTTTTTCAATTTAAACTTAAATTCAAATTCAATCGGAACATAAACATTTCTCATTTTTTTGGATCAAATAGAAGTGCATGGGAAAATGGAAAAATAGAATGAACATGGCAAACCTAAATTTAAACCTCCAACTTACCTTAAAATAAAGTTGGCTAGCAACAACCAATTTTCTTAAAAGGAAAGCCAAGGAAAGTGACTTAAGTCACATTGTTCCTTTGGTTGAAATTGAAGGACGGTGATGATAATAATATCTAAAAGACATGTTAAAAAAATGAATAGATTTAAATTTGACAATGATCTTTTCAAAGATGCAATTGATGAACCTATAAGAAAGTGAACTAAAGACTTATAGTGTAAGATAATGGTGTAAGAGAATGTAAACGTCCAGATGAAAAAAAATTAAAAAGAAAGAAATTCTTAACTTATCAACTACTAACAATGTAAAATGTGATGAGTGGCCAAATGAAATGATCATGTTAGGATAATGTTGTACGTGGTTAATAAATGAAGAATATTAATGACAAATTTTAGAGTGTGACAGTTGTCTTATTTAAATATTTTCAACTAAATGATATAAATGACGTCAGTCTTCATATGATTGTGGTGGAAGATAATTAAATACTAAAGACCCAAATTTTATCCCTTGAATGAACGAAATGCAATTATATGAGATACTATGAGCTTGCTAGGGATATGAAAAAAGACACACTCTTTGGAAATTACGGAGATGACCGATAAATGAGTTCCACATTTGATTAAATTAACGTAAGGTGAAAAAACTCACTAGAGATACTTTAAGGAAAAAATAGTCAGTTTTGACTTCTCACAAAACGACCTAAAGGACACTTGACATTCTTTGTAATAAAACGGAATTCTCGTAGAACAAAAGATGGGTTACAAATTCTCATGCAATAAAGGTGAACATGTTGAAACCTGAATACCTTACCACTTTTATAAGTTGGATACTTCTCATTTTCCTCGTCATCTCCATTATCATGGAGAGTATAGTATGAAGCACATCAGAATCATCATCAATCATCATCATCAGAATGGCTCACCTTATCACCTAATTTGTCATAGGGTATGATTATGGTCCAATCCAAATCAATAGGATCCTCACTACAGTCATACTCAGTATCACTAAAATTGTCTAATTTAACATCACTTCCAACATAGTCAACTTCATCATCACCAGAATTCTTCTTTTGTTCACTTCCAACATCAACATCATTGCTATTTTCACTCCCAACTTTTACATCATCACCATAACTCTTGTTTTCTCACTTCCAAAATCATCATCAATAATTTCAACTTCCTTATCATCACAATTTGAAGCACAATACCTCCTTATCATAATCGTGCACTAATTATGCCTCATCTACAACTTTAGGATTATCAATGGAATGCTCTACATATACATTTATCAAATCAAATCCTTTCACATCATCAACAAATTTAAGCACATCAACATCAGAATTTAGGAGCTTAAGGCCACGAGAAAAGCTAAACCTAAAGTTTTAGTACCTCATACATTTGATATTTCTATATCTCTCATTTCTTATCAAACCTTCTATATCTCTAATTTTCTCCTATGATGAATTCTTGATCTAACATTCTACTCAACCCTAAAAGGGAAATAGATTAAGATTCACACTCTACTTAACCCAGATTAACATTCACATTTAACTAAATACTAAAAAAAACATATTAACATTCACAATTTTACTAAGCCCTAAAAAAGAAACAGATTAAAATTTACAATGTTACTAAACCCTAAAAAACAAACAGATTAACATTCAGAATTATACTAAACTCAAATATGAAGAGAAAAAAATGAAATTTCACATCTTTGATTTTCCGTAACTGGGGAATATTATTCACCGTACGTACTGTTCTTGACCTTCATCCTTCCTTCAATAATGGATTTCGTGAATGCAGCAAACAGTGGGATGAGTGAGACGTGAATGTGGAAGAAGAATGGAGACATGAATGTCGCAATCTGAGAATAGGGCTTGTCTAAATAGGGGAAACCAACAAGAATGAGTCAAGTGAATGTCTACATATTCTGAGTTTAAATTGATAAATTTGGTTTTTTTTATATTTAATTTCAATTAAAAATGATTAGGAAATAAAGTTGAAATTTAAAAACATTATTTCTTTTTCTTTTTTCTTTCAATGACGTAGCACCACAACTTTTGCGCCACGTTAATTTTTTTTTAGTTGTCACATATGCAAACATGAAAAAGAAAAAAAAATTCCCAGAAAAAATTTATTAGAGATCAACAGGCTGAATTTTGTTTAAAAAGTACCAAAAGTTTAAAATAAAAAAAAAAACATAAGAGGGATTAAGTCCTAATTATAATTTTAGTCTTATTTTTACACATTTAAAATTTCTTATTTTAAAACACTCTTGTCTCTCAATTATAGTTTTAAATTTAAAAAATAAAAAAGTAATTTAATTTATTGTTTATAAAATCATCTACATAAATTATGAAATTTCTATTGTTTATTTTATATTACTTGTTTATCTTTTTAAATTTAAATTAAACTTTTAATCACTTTCTCAAACACATTAATATTTTCTTATATTTTGAATCCTAAACTTTTTTAACGGTTAATTTTATCAAGTATTTTAACCTCAGTTAACTAACTTCTCAACTACAAACTAACTATAAGTTATAAAAATAACTGATCATTTAGCTTTATCCAACATACTAAAAGATAATGAAACAAGAGAATTAAGATATAGATAGAAACTTATAGAAAATGTTTCTTCCCACTAATTATTTGGGATGAGAGATTTTTAATCTACTCAATGAAAAATGTGAGGAAAAAAACACCTTCCACATATAATTATATATGTTGGAAAGTTGGCAAGTCCCTTAAATTATTTTATATTTAAAAAACTAGGGAGATGAAATTAATGTACAACTACAAAGCCAGATAAAAACTATGTAAAATGTTGCAGTTTGAAATTTCAAGGAGCAATAGTTATGTACAATACTAAATACAACAAGCAGGATAATGATGCACTAGTTACCAAAGGAATGTTACATCTATAGACCAGTTACTTGGATCTAAACATCCATCTCCCTTCTTAGCTCCACCAGAAATCACTCTCCAACCACAATCATCGTCGTCCAAAATGGGAATCAGTGTTGGAACAAATTGAACAAAGTCAAAAAGTACATGTATTAACACAAAATTTTGGTGGTTGATGTTTGGTGGCTGATGCACAAACATTACCACCACTCATGGGCAGACAATGAATGGACATTTACAGGTATTGACTATCCAAAAAGCCATGCTTCTGAGGTTCTACTTGGTCAATATGCTGCTACATCTGGCCTAACCTTTCCTGCATAAAAGCGAGAAATAATTCAGTCCATGTATCAGATCAGCAGAATCAAAAAATATAAACCGTCTTATATTTTGTAACAAGAATTCATATTAAATTAAAGAGATCCTAAATCATTTTATTCATTAGGTAAAGTAAGTGCTACAGAGCAAGAATTAGAAAACTAAGAAAATGGAAATGAAAGGCATTTTTGTTTGGGAAAACATTGTTTTTATTTTCTGTTTTCACAACGACATTATGATCTATTTTAGAATATAACATGTTCCCTGTAAACTGGAAATAAAATGAAAAGAGTACTGGTCATTAAAAGTGAAAAATAGAAAATAAAAACAGTAGGCAAAGATTTAAAGGGTAGTTAAGAGCTCTTAAAGAGTCATAACACGGACAACTACATTAATTTAAGACATCATCAAAATAAGAGAAATTGGACAATAATTTGAACTATTTCTTTGACTCCTTGGCTAACAAGCAAAACATAAGATGCATGAAATAAATATTAAAAAGAACAACCTGAAGCATCTGCATTAATTTCGGTTGCTGCTCCAACAGCTGGCAAAGTTTGTCGCGGTCACTCAACAAAGACTGCAATGTTAGAGAGGTGCAGTGATAAGATAAAAAAAACAGGTCTAATCAAATTTGTAATCCCACCATAAAAAGTGCATGGCAAGTGGCAAATACCTGAATGGCCTCTGGAGACTTAAAATACTCGTGTAATGACATTCCAGCATTTGAAAGCTCCTGCGATTGAGCATCCCCCGTTTGTTGAGTATGTTGAACTTGCTGCTGTTGCTGCTCATGTGAAAATTGTTGCTGCTGGGTTTGATAATATGTCTGCATTGAAGAAACTTGAGACCGTTGCAGCATCTGTAACTCATGCACTTGAACATTGCTCGGTACGGCCATCCCTTGTTCCAACTGCTGTAAAGCTTGAACAGGAGGCCTAGGAAGCTGAGGTGGTTGTGGAGGGCGTGGAAGCTGGGGGGGCTGCAGTGGCTGCAACTGTGGAACTGAATGCATTGACTGAAAGGAAGCTTGGGGGACAGAGATACTCTGCAAGAAGTTTGACTGGCTCTCATTCTGTTGCTGATTTGAGGCATTACCAAAGACAGCCATTGGCATAGAAGCTGGCCTATTGTACCCCAAGGACATCATCGAAGAATTTAATGGGTAGGATGACAATCTGGCTCCTGAAGGAGCAATGGAGGCCTGAGAATGTTCAGTATTCCCAATACTTGCCTGATTATATGGAGCAGGTTGTGAGACAGATGTTTTGACAGATGGTAAATTATATGGACTAGATGCATAAGGAGGTGGTGTAGGAGGAAGGGGAGGAGCAAGTCTACTAGGTCCACTAGGGGAAGATATAGAATTCCTAGAATATTTGGAATCTGGCATAGGAACAGAAGATGCAAATGGTGATGCAGCTGAACTGTTGTTGAATGGAGATAAATAATCTGATGGTCCCTGCCAAGAAAAATTACATGAGTAGTCAGTGCAGAATTTAGAAAGACAAACAGGATAAAAATTTGATTTAAAATACTGAAGAGTAACTAGAAAGAAGGAAATAAATAACTAAGAAGCAATAAGGCAAAGCAAAATTACTCACTTGGAATGTAACTGAACGGCGTGCACCTGCTGGAGAATTAACGAATGAGGATGACTGATTATGCAATGAATCGATGCCATTTGACATTGCAGGTGAGATTGTTGGTGGGGGTGGCATGGGCGGTAAAGGAGGTTGGTTCGGAAAAAATCTCGGGTCATACTGTCCTTGAGAACCTGTAACAATTCCCCCATGTTGAGGACTGTTCTTTAAAAAGAAACTCTGAGAAGCAATCCTTGAATCAACTGGTAGTTGCATAGATGTTGATGGATTGTTGTAAAGAGGCACTGGGAACGAACTATTTGCTGTTGCAGAATCATATCCACAAGATACCTTAGCTTGAAGAGCATTCTTTGTGTCATCAGCCTGCTCGCCATATTTCCTGTCTGAAGAAACACTTGATTCACGAGTCAATGACATATCAGGTCGTGAACCAGACATCTTTGAAGAAAATTCACTCTGGACATTTTCATCGATGTTAGATCCTATTGGAGTACCCATGCGAGAAAATTGGCTACTATCAACAGCATCACTTTCTGTCTCTTCAACAATTGAGTGGGGAGAGCTTTGCTCAACAATAACTGGGGCAGGCTGCTGTAAATTATCATCCAGTTGAAGAAAAGACAATTTGTCATCAGAGTCAGACTCCTCTCCATCAAAAACTATATCAATTCCTTGAAGATCATCGTCAAGATCTGTTTTTAATTGCTTAGATTTGTTTGACTTCTCTACATCTGAAGCTTTCACAGGAGAAGCATTTTTTAGATGTCCCACGGCTTCTCCCACTACTGTTGCTGAAGGGTTCTGACGTTCCCTTTGTCTGGCCATAAATTCATCCACATGGATTGATGGGGGTCTCCCACCAGTAGATCCTGTTCGTGGCACTGCTATTACATTGGTAATCCCATCAACATTTCTCTCCCTAGCCACATAGTCATCCACATGCATAGATGGTGGTCTGCTGGTATTCGGCTTGCGCTGCCGGAAGGAATCCCTACGTGTAGGACCCGAAGAAACAGTAGACGGTGCTAAGCCACGCGAAAAAGCAGAAACATCAGCTTGAAAACTCTCTCCTCTGCCTCGCCTCACTGGTCCATCCATTGCTGACAGTTTCTTTTTGGCAGCAAGATTTGTTTGTGTTAATCTATCAGGCAACGTTTCTGGACACTCCCAAAGAAATTTGTCACCAAGTCCTCCAACGTCAAGATGATTGTCGATCGTTTCAACACTGTTTTCAAGCATGTGAAGTGCCTTTGGAAAAACTAAAACGTCATTTTGAGGTAAAACAACATCACCCGACTCCATGGTATCAACAGGCCTTTGCAATACTAAGTACAATGATTTCACTGACTCAGAAACCTTGCATCAGAAACCGTCGGGAGGTTAAAAAATGATTCGGGAAAAAAACAATAAACAGGAAGCTGTATTGAAATGGAGTTTTACCTGGTATAACGGTATTTGCAAGTGAGAGGTGACCAAACAATCATCCACAGTAGCCTTTGAACTTAACATAGTACTCAAATCTAGTATGCAGTTTATATTTTCTTCAGGAAAGTCGAGTGATCTTGTCACATCATCAGAAAGTCCAAAGAGGTACTTCAATGCGAGAACTCTGTCGGAAAATAAACTAACCAAAAAATTGTAAATTTATCCCGCTAGATTGCCCCCAAAACAATAATATAAGGAGAGTGCAGAGATATTTTCAAATAAATCATAGCGTTCTTTTTCAACAAAGAAACTTGTGATGTCAAGAGAAAAAAAATTCAAAATTCAGATATATATTTGTTAAGGCCTTCATTTATAGCATACATATGTAAATACAGGCAAACACCACAGATACATAAATATGTAACTGCAGACACCCTAGAAGAGATAGAGAGGGGTGACTGCAGGGAATCAATTTCCCATAAATAGGAAGAGTTGAAATTTTGATTTGATATTTGTTACTTCATATTCATTATACAAAGAAATAAAGCAGTATATGAAATGTAACTTTAGCAAAGATGGAGCACCCCTAACTTAGAGGCGAAAGTTAAATATTATACCACAGGTCACACATTTTAAATATATTTAGTCCATTGTACGAAAAGACAAAAAAAATAGGAGATGTAAAACACTGGATTCAATCAGAGTGGTTGAAATGGATGAGGGCTGTGTTTTATGTTACAAAAAGGTGCCCCTAACGCTTAAGAGATAGGTGTATCCTGCAGCTAAAAACCAATGATGATATGAGAGATTTATGTTATAAAAAGATACCCATAATGCTAAGGAGAAAGTTGCATGCTGCAGCTAAAAGACCGGCAATGATGTTTGGGACAACCATAAATTGTGCTTACCCATTCAACATGGTATCTTTAGTATAGAGGCAACCATAAATTGTGCTTACCCGTAGAGCCACTGTCCTCCAGTTAGAAATATTTACCAAGTTCCAACTCCTATTTGCCTCTCCTCTGCTGGCATGACCCATTCCAGCACTCTGCTTAACTTAACTGTATTCTGGCAAATCCGCTGCTTCCGCCACCATCTCCGGCAACTTTTCTGGCTAGAGACCAAAATGATGATAAAGGACTACCAGGTCAGCCCACCCCCCCGAAGGCACACCACCAACCTCCAGCAGATGCACTCACATGCCTCACTTCTATAAATGTTCACAGCGCCACCCGTGTACATTGGTCTTTCCAGTCAAAGCATCCTTCTTCTGACTCACTTCCTCTCCTGGTTCAGAATTTGCCCTCATTTCCTAGTTTTGAGTGCAGATAAGCATACTCTAGTTCAAACAACCCCTATTTCTAAAGTTTGGACTGTTAAGAAATGTGGTTGGGCCTAACTCAACCCTACAAAACCAGTTGGTAGAGTGAGGATTGCCCCCACTTATAAACACACGTTCATGCCATATATTGTCCGATGTGGGACTCTTAACACATCCCCTCACGCTCAGGACTGGACAACTGAATCGTGGAAATAAATGTTGGGTGACCCGATAGCGGAAACCATAGAAGGTGGCCCACCGGATCTTAAACAAGGCTCTTGATACCATGTTAAGAAATGTGGTTGGGACTAACTCAACCCTACCACCTTTGATCATGGCTAGTTTTGATTGTCATGGACAAACGTCCAATTCCACGCCTCATCCCAAATGTAAGTATTATCACCATTCTCAGACTGCTCAATCTAACACTATCCAGACAATTGACCCGCCTAAGTATTGTCAGAACACAGGATTTGTTGTTTCGACTGCATCTTAGTCACCTTTCCCTTAGGTCACAGGTTCTCAACTTTGGTGTGACTCAACACATTACTGGTAATAAGGTGCTTTTCTCCTCTCTCACTACAACTGGTTACTTAACTAGTGTAGTCTCAACCAGTGGTTCCAAAACAGTCCCAAGGTATTGGCACTATCCAAATACATCCTTCTCTGCCAGTTACACATGTCCTCTATGTGCCTGAATACCCATTAAATTAAATTTCTATCAGTCAATTGACTAGTTCTCATGACTGTCTTGTCGCATTAACTAATGCCAATGTTACTTTGCGGGATGGGATTTCGAGACAGCAGATTCGTGTCGAATGTGAGTCTAATAGCTTTTATCATCTCTCAAACTCATCAACATTGTGCCCTACCACAGATTCCCTCTTCAAAAATTGGTACCTAGACTTTCTGAATGATCAGATTTACATTGTTAGTCGTGTTAGATAGGAAAAAACACTCATGATCATGTTCCTGATAGAGTCAATAGAGTAGTGTGTCCCCTACTATTTTAGTTCAATCGAATGTTTTTGGGCCGTCCCTATCTCCACTTCTGAGTCTAAATCTTTTACCATGCACATGGTTATTGTATAATATTTAGATATTAGGCCAAAGCCCGCTGGTCTCCTGTATATAATATATACATAGCTTTGTAACCCTGGTAAGTAAAAATGAATTAAATGTTAACCCCGTTTTTGGCATGGTATCTAGAGCCAGAATACAGTCCAGTGCCACTATTCATTTTCCGGCGATATTTCTCTTTTTCTAGAGACCCACTCTTTTTCCATCGGACTCTTTTCTGATGTGTTTCATCTGACACAGACAGAACTACAACAGCTGTTGAAACATCTTCAACCTGCCATTTGACTGGTGCTGTAACCGGAGCAGAGACACTCCTCCTCGCACCGTCTCTGGCGACTGTTTCCGTTTTTTATTCTATATTCTCCTTTCCGGAGCCAACTCCACCACCGTTGGAATTTTTTTAGCAAGGATAGTCTGACCAGCAAGTCAGTCACCACTGCCGCCGCCAGAATTTCCACCTGGCCTGTCCTGACTTATTTTTCTGTAGACTTGTCTTAGCAAGTGAGTCTGACCCACTAGTCTGGATTGAAGAGAGTAGATCGGAGAGAGGGTTACATAATCACTAGATGCAGAGGAAGACCAAGAAAAAATGAAGAAACTAAGAAAGACAGGTCATGGCTTGGCTAGAGATATGATTTATGATGGAGTGTTATGGCGTCATTTGATCTATGATGTTGAACCTGCCTGGTGGGATAAGTCTTGGTTTCTCTATATATGTTTATTTAGAGCTGGGAATGGCCAATTTGAAATCATTTTAGACTAATATTCTAACCAAGCCTTTAAGATTTTTGCTCATAATTTAGATTTTCACTCATAATTGAACACTATTAACACAACAAGGAAAGGCACAATCATACATGTGCATAGAGCAAATAAGGCTTAATCACGTTACTTTGCATTCTGTATATCAGGAGTACTGAATTTTTTATGCCTCCAATTGTGAACTTAGATGGTATATATACAATAGTCCTTTGTATACTTTTGAAAAGCAGTGGCTCTGGCTGGCCTATTAATGTAGAATTAACTGCCTCTCAAGATGGGTGGAATGGAAGGACTATACTCAGACTTATATAGGTTGAGTTCTATTTAAATTTGTAAATTAACTCAAGAACTACTTCTAGCTAATGTCTTCTGTTATCGTTATTTGTAATATAATTGTTTAAATTGAAAATTATTTTCTTACATACAGTTTTAAGTAAGATCTCTTCTAAAATTTTTACAAAGAACACTCATTTTAGGCTTTTAATTAAGGCAGTGATGTGAAGCACGAGTAAAGTATCGGTACCGGATACGTACCAGATGCCGGTACGCGTAAGGTACATGTACGGTACGCACCGAAGCCGCACCAAAAAATTTTATTTTTTTAAGCTGGTACACCAACCGGTACACATTTGGTACTACATACCCAATTTTTTAAACTTTTTTTCAATAGTACAATTTGGGTTTTTTTTACTGAGTAAAAATTAGGTTAATCATTCTTTCTCATTGAAAAGGAATAGACTCAATCTAAAGAGGGCTAATGATTTAGTTTTTGCTCATACAATTCTCTATCTTTTCTCGAGAAAGAGTAAAGTTTATAATGAAGGAGCAACAAAAATGTGGAATATTGATAGAAATGAATGAGATGCATTTGATGAAGCTAATATTCTTAAAGTTGTTAGTCTTTTCCACGATGAACCTGAACCAAAAGCCACTTTTTTTAATGATATTGGAGAGAAAAATATAGATATTCAACAATGATTTCATGATTTATTGATATTTTTAAGTATGATTTATTTATGTTATTACAAAGATATTAACTATTTTTAAGTAAATTGTTTTTTAATTTTAATATTTTGATATTATTTAAACAATATAATTCCTTTGTTATTTTTATAATTGTATTTTAAAAAAATTATACTAGCGTACCCGTACCATAGTTTTTCTAAAAATGTCGTACACCATACCAATACCCGTATCAGGTACTGGGTACGTACCCGTACCTATGCAACGCAGAAGCAGTGTTGTCGATGGCGGATGGCGGTCCATGGCGATGAGCCAAAATCCCGCCATACCAACTGCTTTACGGCACAGTTATTGCGTATTATGGCTGGAAAGCCCGCAATATCGGCCGATATTTACCATCGTGGAGAGCCCATTAACCACCATGTATATCCACAATTGTGGCCATGGCGCCACTATTCGATGACACTTTAAAGACAAACCCAGAAGATCCACCTTAGAAGTTAGGATGCCTATAACTGTTAAGAAATGTGGTTGGGTCTAGCTCAACCCAACATAACCGGTTGGTAGAGTGAGGATTGCCGCCACTTATAAACACATGTGCATGCCATATGTTGTCCGACGTGCGTCTCTTAACACACCCCCTCACACCCAGGACTGAACATCTGGAGCATGGAAATAAATGGTGGGTGGCCCGATAGCGGAAACTTGATAGCAGGTGACCCACCGGATCTTATACCAGGGATCTTAAATCATGTTAAGAAATGTGGTTGGGTCTAACTCAACCCTGCAAAACCGGTTGGTATAGTGAAGATTGCCCCCACTTATAAACACATGTTCACGCCATATATTATCCGACGTGGGACTCTTAACAATAACATTCAATATATTTGGTGTCTCATCACCTACTTCTAGAAATATTTACATTTTAGCTAAATGATCAGCTTTCATTTAAAGTGTCGGTATATCACTTATAGTAGAAAAGGTGATGGAAAATAAACTTTGGTGGTTTGGAATGGGAGAAGACGTGTATATTTTGTAGTGAGGAAAGTAGAACAGATGGAAAGAAGGCAAACAATTTGAGGAATAGGAAGACCTAGAAAGACTATAAGAGAAGTTATTAAGAAAGATCTCAAGATTAATAATTTGAATAGAAATAATCCTTGCTAGAACATTATGGCGAAAGTTGATCCATGTAACTGACCCCACCTAGTGGGATAAGGCTTAGTTGTTGTTTTTATCAGCTTTCAGTTTATGGCTAAATTAACTAACAGCTTAATTACAATAACAGATCTATCACTTCAATGCTGTCAAGGAAGCATAAAAAAAGAGGGAGAACAATGTTTAAATAACTTCAGTTGTTCCATTTTAAAAGAGTATGTGAGTTCTAGTGAACATGCAAATTGAAAGAACGATTTTTCAAAACATCGCATAAGCACATCCATAGAAGTTAATCAGAAACACCAATCATGAAGTTAAAATCTCACCTGTCCCCATTCATGCAAAACTGTAGAGACCCCACTGATAAAGCATAGACAGCTTCAATTGCATAAGGCGACAAACCCTCCATTGTGTCAATTGATCTCAACAACTTCATCCAACAGCTAAGTAAAGGAGGGCACTTTTTCCATTCTGCCATACTAGGAACATTATAGTTTACATCCATATCATCTTTCTGATCAAGCTCACAAGCATTATAATGGAAGCCGGAAAGAACTGCTTCAAATGCCATTTGACCTTTACTACATGAAGCTAATTCTTTGAAAGCTATAAGACAAGCAAGTAACTCTTTCCCAACAGGTAGGACCTTGAAAAATTAAAATTATTCGTTAATATTGAGAGCAATGAAAAATAGCACTACAATTTAAACTATACAATGAGTCTTTAGCCAGGAATTTAGGCAATCCCTTGTACCTGAATGGGATCCAAATGAAGAAGTGCATTTCAGTAACAACACAATATCTAAACAGATCTAAGAATTTGTATGGACAGGATCAGAGAGTCACCTGGCAACTCTTCAAAAGATAATGTAAAATGAGGGCATAATCTTCATCTTTCATCTTTTCAAATAAGTTACTGCTGAACAGCCAGAAAATTCATCAGTTAGTGTTCAAACTTGAACGAAACATAACTAGTAAAACTAACAATTACGTATGTTACTCACGAGTCATGTCTTCGGGAGTAATATTGGGAAGTTTCAGAATTAAAAAGAAGCATGATAAACTTGAACACCGGGAGACACCAACTAAAAAAATTAAAGCTGTACTTTACAGAACTTCTACTATCAGGAATTGGCTTTCCATCAACAATGACAAGAGATCTATCCAGTACTTTTGTTAGTGTCTCAAGAGTGCCCAGTCTTAGCAATAAGCCCTGATAGAGAGAATGCAGTTTTATACTACGGAAAATTATTATTATAACCAGCAGTCAATTATAAAACTATACAATACATAATAGTCCTGATAAAAATAAGAAACAGGAACAAAAAGGACAGCAGAAAAAATATATATAAGTTCAATGACCTTTCCAAGTGGGTGCTCTAATAGGCTGACAAGAAAATCAAGAAGCCTCAAAACCTGAAAATAAAGGACAAATTGTCAAGCTAGATAAACTACAAGTTCTAAATTATAGGGACCACAGAATTTTTACCTTGTATGCATCAGTATCTGATGGGGATGATTCTGAAACATGACTACCGATCGATGACAATATTGGTTGTAAAAGCATAGATGCATAAGTAACATTTTGGAAAGCAATGCGAGTTACAAAAACACGCAGCAGATCTTGAATGACTACTAATGCCTGCCAGAAAATCAGAATAACACATTGAGAAGCATTCACATAAATCTCAGTATTTCACCAACAATGCCTACTTCATATCAGAAAATGTAAGATCACCACAGACAGAAACAACATACAGAAATAGCATGGTGTTGTACAATCTCAGCAATTTTGTCAAGGTGTGGTGCCAATTGGCTAATCAGCTTCCCAAGGGATCCAGATTCCAAATACCAGTTGACATGCTTCTCCTTTTGAGGCCCTAATAGGGTTCCAACAGCCAACATCCTTCGTGTCGTTAACAAAGGCATTCCACCAATCCAAGACCATATATCTTCCTCGGGAAACAAATCAATCTTGCAATACAAAACAGGTATGGAAAAAAATCACTCATATAAACAGCTAAATAACCTTATTATACATGCCTTAAAAAATAACATGGTTTTGATTAATGGAATGTGTAGTTGTGTACAGAGTGATATGGAATATTTAAAGAAATAAAAGCAACCACACAGTTGACAGAGTAGAAGCTCAAATGGATAAGCATACCAAAAGATAGAGCAAACTGCATGTTTCTTTTGGACCTAGAGTCAACAATGAAGTACCCTGAACGCTGTCAAGAAGAGTGTGATAAAGACCTGGACTCCAGCCATATACTGGCCAAAAGGCAAGGGAAGACGCAATCAAATGACAGACAGCTCCATAACCTATCGCGTAATCAGGATACGGAGATGATAACTCTGCAGCACATGCAGCTAGCTTGGGGCTGCAATGAACAGGATTTAATCAATTTAAAGATGGTGTGATTATCAGATGCAAAGAGAAAGGAAACTAAGAGATACCTTATTTCCCTGTGTACTCTTAAAAGAGCATTCATTAATTTTGTATTTCGGTGTTGTTCCTTTGCTTCCTATAAATTGCAATCAAACAATCTATATCAAGAATACATTACACAAGAGTTTTCATTTACAGTCAGTCAGTGGTATAATACTGTAAACAACGCCACATTTTAGCCTCGTCTATTTGCTTATAAAAACAAAAATATTTACACGACAGATCAAGAGAAGGACCATTATCAAATAATACAATATCTCATTCCCTCATTTAACCCAATACATATTGGTACAGAAAATCTCAGAAGCTGCTAGTTTACACGGCTTCTGGGTTGGAGACATAACCACCTATCAACATGTGATAATCGATCCTCAAGCTTGCAAATTGATCATATTTTGTACAATGACCTTTTGATAAGTATGATGCACATCACAACCTAAATATAAATTTTTCAAAGTTTGAAACAAATGGCTACACAAGAAAATTACGAAGCTCTAGAGGAAATACCTGTAATTTCTGCAGAAGTGTAATCAGTAGCATAAGTGAAGGAACCAAGAGATCAACTATGCTAAGCTCACGATTGCGTTCCAATAGTAAGTCTGATGTAGCATTGCACTCGGTACCCTCATCTACAAGGTAATCTGTTCAAAAAAAATGAAAAATTCATTGGCCAAGCTATAGTAAGAAAAAATAGCAATATGAAATTTCTACTAACAAGACAAAAAAAAAATAGTTGTATCTGTTAAGAAACGTGGTTGGACCTAACTCAACCCTACAAAACCGATTGGTAAGGTGAGGATTACCCCCACTTATAAAGATATGTTCATGCCATATATTATCAGATGTGGGACTCTTAACACACTCCCTCACGCTCAGGACTAGACAACTGGAGCGTGGAAATAAATGGTGGGTGGCCTGATAGCGGAAACCATAGAAGGTGGTCCACCAGATCTTAAACGAGGCTCTTGATACCATTGTGTGACATAAAATTTTGAAATTGTTGAGATAAATATTCACGGGAATTGTCACTTCTTAAGGTACGGATAGGCACACCGAATTGAGTTCTTATTTCTCGATAAAATTGTTCAAAAATAAAAAATAATTCAGATATATTCTTCATTAAAAATAACCACGTCTTTATATGGCATGAACATGTCTTTATAAGTGGGGGTAATCCTCACTTACCAACCGGTTTTGTAGGATTGAGTTAGGCCCAACCACATTTCTTAACAGTATCAAAACAAACAAACAAACAAGTAAATAAACATATTTTTTAATACTCGAGAGTGCTGCTGGATTCCAACACCGTAAGTTACTATTTACACTAAGTTGGGTGGATAATGACGTTCAAATATGTGGTTAATGAAGTTCATTATGTGGTTGATGGGAAATCAATTATTGACAGACTTAATATCTTTTTTCACAGCCCACTAGTAATCAATCCTGGGGAATAGCGGAACTATCCCGGGTGAGCAGCGCAGAGCGGAGGCCAGCCACTATTTGAAAGCCCATTGTATCACAGTTTGGCCAGCTGTCAGAGACTTCAGTGCTGGGCTGATTGGTCTCATTAGCTTTGGGTTTGCGTGTATAAACCAAATAAGGCTTATTAGCACATGTCTGTTTCGTATCAGAAACCCCAAAAGACTGTATTTTTAAAGACAGTAAGTAACTGATTGAGAATGACCTGGTTGTTAATGTAAGCCCTCGTGACATTCATACCCTTAGTAAACCTTTATAATAAACATACCCGGTACACAATTAGCATTCAAGTTCATAAATACTGAAAAAAAAGTTACAAAAAAGATGCTGCCTATCTTGCAGCTACCCTTTAGGGAAAGAAATGCATTCCAAATATTGTGAATGAAATGGGAAAGTTTTTCATAATTGATGTGATAACCTAAGCAATATATGTGATGTATTATAACAAGTATAATAACTAATTTACCATAATTGTTTGAGGACCTCTCAAGCATAAATCGGCAGTTAACCAATATGGCATAAATAACTGTAACAGCACCTTCATCATAGAGAGACGCGGCAACAGTCTGCATAGACTAAAACTGTCATAAAAGAGGATTTATAATTATCGATGAATTAATTCAAAATTTACTAGAACATACAGGGTTCTCAGAAATAAAAGACAAAATCCTCAACGCTGTTGTTAACTGTGACAGAGAAGAATCACGAAGAGTAACGCCATCAAAAGACTTCTCAGATGTGAACTTCCCAAGATTCTCCATGACATTAATATCAGAGCCACCGGAAGACTCTCCAACAACATTTTCAACATCAGTCAAATCTGAAACTAGGACACTAGTTGAAGTTAACTGGGCATCTCCTCCAGAAGCCAATAGAGCAGCATACCGTAGGAGACCAATACCCCCATGTTTGTCATATACTACACCAGCATCTATCCATTCCAACAGACGTGAGGGAGCATCTTTTCTGTTAGAACCCGGAGAGGAGAAATGCAGAGCCCTATGAAGTTCTGTCGCATGTCCAATCCAAGAGCCCAAAGATGATGATGTGGAATCGGTAACAATAGCTTCAATAATCTCAGCAACTGAATGAAATATTGTAAGATTTACAGGTAAAGATCCTGAAATCAGCAGAATAAGAACCAGCAGGTTAATCACCAAACAAGAAATCATGCCACTACTATGCATAAAAAAGATAACAGAGTGACTAGACTACCGCCGGTTTTCCCATCGGGTTCAGATTCCTTGGTAGAACTTAATGCTTCAATCAAGATGTTAACAGCCTACAGAAAATGAAAGGATAGTAGTACTGAAGTATTAAACTCAATATATCATATACCAAACTGCCTAAGCAAATACACAAAAATTCCTTTTAGTTTAACTAGATCTACAAAAGAAACATCCATGAGCGCTTACACATACATACCCCACAAACAAGGACAATATAACCCTGCTAAGCATAACATAAATGAAATTTTCACCTATTTTGTTCAGGTAAATAATAAGAGAGCGAAGTTCCAGGAAGTTCCAATACAAAATTTAGAATTTTTTGTATTAAAAAGTTTTCACCTATTTTGTTCGGGTATATATATATATAGTCCCACATTGACTATATCATGTAATTAGTTGTAATCTATTTATATATAATAATGTCTCCGTAGTGCTTTTCAAAACACACGATTTTTTTTTTTGTCATTAAGCTATGGGAGACGCTGATTCTGTCTTGTTTACTAAAGTTCCTCTTATCCCATGTGAAAAACTAATCGGATCAGCAAACTATAACATATGGGCTCGTGCTATCAATATGTGGTTTCGTGGTCAGGGATATGAAGATCACATAACCACACAATTGACTAATGTTGCCTCCGACAAACTCGCTAAATGGAAGAAAACAGATGCCTCTCTCCTTACCGTGTTATGGTTCTCCATAGCACCTAACCTCCAAGCGCAGTATCAAGCCTTCTCCACTTGCTATGAAGTTTGAGAAAAGGCCAAGAAAGTCTTCTCCAACGACGTTCATTGTCTATACAGTGCCACCCTCAAACTCGACACACTAAAGATGAAAAATATGGTTATGCAAACCTATCTGAGTAAGCTTGATGCCTTGAAAGCAAGTTACGCAACCCTCATGCCGTACACAAAAGATGTAACAGCTCATGCCGAACAACAGAGTAAATTTTTTATGGTCATGGCACTTAAAGGACTACCATCCGAACTCGACTCCGTTCGTAACCATATTTTATCAGGTACTATTGTTCCTAACTATGATGCAGTTGGTGAACAACTGTTGCGCTTGGCTACACCCCATGCGTTTGGTCCGGTTTTCCCTCCATCTATTGTTGCTCCAACACCAGGTGACACTGCTGCCCTCGCATCTCTTGGCAACAATCAGAATCGCCCTCGAGGAGGGTCATCCAACTCCAAACCTCGTCCCAAGTGTAACCATTGTAACCGGCTTGGACATACTATCGACCGTTGTTGGAAGCTACATGGCAAACCCCCACGCCAAGTAAATGTAGCTCAAAGTGATAACTCAGAAACTATGCAGACTTCACCTTCTATTCAAAACCCTACGCCAAGCTACGAAGATTTTCTCAGGTGGTGTCAGACTAATCAGATCTCTGGTTCCACTGCTTCGGTTGCACACACTGGTAATTCATCTGTTTGCTTCTCTCAATCGTCTCCTCTTGGTCCTTGGGTCCTTGATTCTGGTGCGTCTGATCATGTTACTAGTAATAAAGGTCTTTTTTCTTCCCTCTCTACCTCTCGTTTCTTGCCTATTATAACTGCCGCAAATGGTTCTCAAACTCGATCCCAAGGGATTGGTACTGTTCAAATTTTACCATCTCTCTCTGTTACTTCTGTCCTTTATGTACCTAATTGCCCATTTAACTGTCAGTCAGTCATTTAACTCGTTCTCTTAATTGTTTTATCACCTTTACTAACAGTAATGTTACTCTACAAGATCGGAGTTCAGGACAGACGATTGGCGTCGGATGTGAGTCTCAAGGCCTCAACTACTTCTCTACGTCATCTACCACATGCTCCACCACAGATTCTCCACTCATTATACATGCGCAGTTAGGTCATCAAGGTCTTCCCAAGCTACAAAAGTTGGTGCTCAGTTTATCTAAATTATCCACTTGACATTGTGAGTCTTGTCAGTTAGGGAAACATACTCGTAGTCACTTTTCCGATCGAGTCAATAAACGGGTTGCGTCCCCTTTTGCTTTAGTTCACTCCGATGTTTGGGGTCCCTCACGTACCGTGTCTACTTTTGAGTCTAAGTATTTTGTAACCTTTATTGATGATTTTTCACGTTGCACATGGCTATTTTTCACCTTTTATTTTTGAACAATTTTATCGAGAAATAAAAGCCCAATTTGGTTTATTTATTCGTACCCTAAGAAGTGACAATGCACGTGAATATTTATCCCAACAATTTCAAACATTTATGTCATCCAATGGTATTTTGCACCAAACATCTTGCCCTCATACACCCCAACAAAACGGGGTAGCCGAACGCAAAAATCGGCACCTCGTAGAAACCACTCGGACACTACTTCTCCATGGTAATGTTCCTCTCCGGTTTTGGGGAGATGCGGTGCTCACGGCATGTTACCTCATAAATCGCATGGCCTCATCTGTCCTTAATAATAAAATCCCCCATTCAATCTTGTTTCCAAACTCTCCACTCCACCCAATTCCTCCTCGAGTCTTCGGGTCAACGTGTTTTGTACACAATCTCTCCCCTGGTCTTGATAAACTATCAGTTTGATCACTAAAGTGTGTCTTTCTTGGCTATCATCTATCCCAAAAAGGTTATCGTTGCTACTCACATACTCTACAACGATACCTCGTATCCGCCGATGTTACCTTCTTCGAGTCTGTTCCATATTTCGAATTCAGCCAAGTAACTACGGAACCTCTACAGGAAAGTATTCTCACACCTCTTCCGGAAGTCCCATCTGTCATTATCCCCCAGCAATCTAGAGAACCTGACTCACTAGTTACCCCTACGGTTGACCCCCCCACTCCTCGCCCACTTCAAACATATCAGCGTCGTCACCCAAAGTCTGTCGTACCTGTCCCTGAAGTCGTATTTGTCCCTGAAGTCGTACTTGTCCCTGAAGTCGTACATGTCCCTGAGGTCACTACGGACTCTCCTCCGACGCTTTCGCCATCACCGGATTCGATCCTGCAACCTGAGTCTGATCTTCCGATTGCCCTTCAAAAAAGTATACGTCGAACACGAAATCCTTTTCCCTTTGCAGTATACTTGTTTGTCTTCTTTTTCTTCTGTTTCTATTCCTAAAACTCTAGGTGAAGCATTATCTCACCCTGAGTGGAGGCAAGCAATGATTGATGAAATGTGTGCTCTTCAAAGCAGTGGTACCTGGGAACTGTTTCCTCTACCCCATGGAAAATCTTTAGTAGGTTGTCGTTGGCTTTATACAGTGAATGTTGGTCCAGATGGCAAGATTGATCGATTTAAAGCTCGCTTGGTAGGCAAAGGATACACTCAAATTTTTGGGTTGGATTATGGTGATATCTTTTCGCCTGTAGCCAAGATGGCATCTGTTAGACTTCTTCTAGCCATTGCAGTCATTCGACATTGGTCTCTTCATCAACTTGACATCAAAAATGCATTCTTACATGGCGATCTTAAAGAGGAAGTATATATGGAGCAACCACCTGGGTTTGTTGCTCAGGGGGAGTCATCGAATATGATTTGTAGGCTACACAGGTCTCTTTATGGTCTTAAGCAATCTCCAAGAGCTTGGTTTGGCAGATCCAGCACTGTAGTACAACAGTTTGGTATGATCCGTAGTGAAGCTGATCATTCTGTTTTTTATCGTCACTCACCCCAAGGGTGTATTTATCTTATTGCGTATGTAGATGACATTGTCATAACTGGTAGTGATTAGCAGGGAATACTCCAGTTGAAACAACATCTCTCAAAACAATTTCAGACAAAAGATCTTGGTAAACTCCGTTATTTCTTGGGTATTGAAGTAGCCCAATCTAAAGATGGTTTGGTGATTTCTCAGCGGAAATATGCTATGGATATTTTGGAAGAAACAGGTTTGTTAAATGCTAAACCAGCCGATACTCCTATGGATCCATGTGTTAAACTACTACCCAATCAGGGGGGCCTCTATCTGACTCAGGAAGGTATAGGAGATTGGTTGAAAAGTTGAATTATCTCACAGTCACTCGTTCGTACATTTCTTTTGCAGTCAGTGTGGTAAGCCAGTTCTTAAATTCCCCTTGTCAGGAACACATGGATGTTGTTATCCGAATTTTGAGATACATCAAATGTGCTCCAGGAAAAGGTCTTGTGTATGAGGATAAAAGACATACCCAGATAATTGGATACTCTGATGCTGATTGGGCAGGGTCACCCATTGATAGACGATCCACCTCTGGGTATTGTGTACTTGTTGGAGGAAACCTTATATCCTGGAAAAGTAAGAAATAAAATGTAGTTGCAAGATCAAGCGCCGAGGCAGAATATAGGGCTATGGTAATGGCAACATGTGAACTTATTTGGTTAAAACAGTTGCTCAAGGAACTTCAAATTGAAGAAGCAAGACCAATGACACTTATTTGTGATAATCAAGCTGCATTGCACATTGCTTCAAATCCAGTCTTTCATGAGAGAACCAAACATATTGAGATAGACTGTCACTTTGTCAAAGAGAAGATCGAGTCAGGCAACATCGTCACAAGCTTTGTCAACTCTAATGATCAATTGGCAGATGTGTTAACAAAATTCCTACGAAGCCCCAGAACTAACTATATATGTAACAAGCTTGGTGCATTTGACTTATATGCTCAAACTTGAGGGAGAGTGTTGATATATATATATATATATATATATATATATATATATATATATATATATATATATATATATATATATATATATATTATTAGGAATATTTGTATATAGAATAGTCTCACATCGACTATATCATATAATTAGTTGTAATCTATTTATATATAATAATATCTCCGTAGTGCTTTTCAAAACACACGGTTTATTCATGTCTCTTAATCTCTTATATTTCAAGAGGGTAAATATATCACGGACGCCATGAATATATTAATTTTGCAAAATATTTTAAATTAAGGGACCTGAAAGGCTATGCCACAGCATTATTATGGTGTGTCAAAGTATAATTTTGTGCATACCTCTGGAAAGTTTCCAAAAGAAAACAGTGCTTGGCGCCCACAATCAGACCTATAAATCATCACCAGGTTTAATTCACAACTCAAACAATGTTCAAATAATTAAGCTTCAAACCCGGAAAGAAATAAAAATAAGGCAATGTTCCACCTTGAGAGAGCAGACAGTTCCCACACAACCCATAAGAACTCTTCCGATTGTGGATTTGATGAAAGCAAACGATCAATCACATTAACCTATAGCAAGTGCAAAAATTGTCGCAATTAAGTATTAACGAACATTAGATTCAAAAATTAAATTTAAAAAAATGATACAGCAGCATCAAGAGGAGGGAAAGAGAAAACAAGTGTTTTTCAGACACTATATTTGAGGGTGTCACTAACCATTTTTAGATGCATCCCAATTATTGTTCCTATCTCCATTGGACTACAAAAGAAACCCTTTGATATCAAAACGGAAGCATAGCGAAGCGGAATACTATCTTCCTTGTTGCCGTGATGACCACCCCTAAAGGCACGGATTAAAGTACTAGAAAGTTCGGGATCCTGTAATAGGAATATCAAGCCTACAATGGTTGGAGAAAAGTGGTTCAAATAGTTGTATTTCTTTTTCTAGTTTCAGATAAAAGTCCAAACAATGTGTGTACATATATTAATTGTGGCCAACCTGAACGACAAAAAAGAAATGATAGAATCACAGCCTCAATAGATGATGTGACATCCATGAATATTTCCATGACATGGCCCCTTTCCACCCGCAGTATAGATGATGACAACAGCGCAGTTGATAATGAAAGAAATCCCCTCTCCTGCATCCAAAATCACGTGATCATGAGTGGATATAAGCATTGGCGCGATAAACACTTATAATCGTAGAAATTAGTCCCACAGGCCTCACATTAAAATACTATCTATCTACTACAGATATATATACAGACGAGAAGGCACAAAAGACTGCACTTAAGAGATACACACATGCGATACCTAAGGAGTTGTATTCCCACTTTGAGCAGATAAAAAAATTTAGCAATAATAACATAACATTAAAATGGTTAATGGTATACCTTTAACAACCCAAGTAAATGTGTATCGATATCCCAATCTGAAAAGCAACAACTCGAAGAGCTGATCAAGTTGGAAGTTGTTTTATATGACAACAATCCATCTGTTTGACCAGTAATCAGGGATCTACTTGCACAAGCCACGGGAGAAGGATCTTCAATTGGACCACGTGAATTTATCAATTTCTGCATTAGTACTTGTCAACAAACATTAACGAAAAACTTAGTTCGAAGCTACATTCACAGATCAAACTAAGTTGTATGGGAAAAATAAAATAAAATTTTGCTTGCAACTCATTTTGAGTACTACAAAAGTTACAATTTATTGACATAAAACTGACCAGGAGCTTTCTGAGCAGAACTTCAGCAGAACTAAGCATATTCAAAGTAACATCTGTTACCCTGCCAAAAGTACTGGTGTTTCCCAGCACAGACAGAACTGCAGACTGGCAAAAATTTAATTACCACAAGATAAAGATGAAGTTATTTAAAGAAAATAAACATTCAAATCAAGAGCCTCCATTGAAAGCAATACCTCATATCTTGAAGCAACTTCATAAAATCTTAAGCGATGAAGCAAATAGGTTGCAAGGGAGGCAACATCATGTCGAGGTTTTGACAGTATCAACTCCAGCAAATGGCTATAACCTTTACTAAAACCAGAGGGGATGTTTTCATCTTCCCGAGGCCACCAACCTAAAAAGCCTTCGCATCCAACAGAATATCTAGTAGCCCGCTCTACAACACCAAGAAGCAGAAGCGTAATAGTAGTAGAATTCTGGACATCCTTGGAAAAAAACATTTCAATCTGCTGCATTCCCCCACTATTAACAAATTGAAAACAGCTCTCTCTACCGGAACATAGTAAATAAGCCATGCTCAATCCTAGAAGAGCGTGTTCATTCTGCAATGAAGAATATGGAGACATAAGCAGGCAAAGAAGACAAACAAAAAAAGACGAGCGTAAAAATAAATAAGAGGGAGTGAATTAATTTGACTCTAATTTTCTCAACTAATAGTCAGATATAATGGTGCAACAAGTACAGAGAAAACAATAGATTACCCGAGAAAGAAAGTGATCTCCTATAGATGAAGAGTGCCTTCTGAAATGATTAATCTGATTAAACATATCCACCAGCGTTTTGGAGTCCAATATTTCAGTCTCCAATTCAAAATAATGTCCCTCCGGTGAACATTCAGAGAATTCAATCTCATTTTTTTGCTTAAAACCCCTATAGACATCAGTGAGCTCTTTTCTTGCCTTGTTAACAACATTGTGCAACTCTTCAAACTTCTCAGCTCTCTTCCCTATCTGATATCTCCCACTGATTGATTCACATATATCACCAGAAATGTAGGAAGAGATTGCCGATACTACAGTACTTACAACTTTATGTCCATCATCTCCAATATGTCCATTATTACCAATCTCTGATAATTCTAAAATCTTTAACATCAACTGTAAAAAAAGTTTGACTTCAAGAGAAATATCTGCTACAGGAACTGGAATAGACAAGACAGTCAAAGAAGAACGTAAATCTTCAATAGCAAAATTAGTAGAATGCAATGCAAGTGGCAGGTCTTCAAGCTTCCCCTCCGCAGAATCAACAAGATCAGTCAACGCATTGTCATCAAACTCAATGTTGAACTGACCCAAGTCCTCAGCTGTGTTTCCATATATAAGCAAGCTCAAACTGCGATAACTGCCCCTCACAACTAGATGACTAGTGACAACAGCCTAAAAAAGGTATGCAAGTAATTGAAATTTGGACACAGTTAAATATTTTTAATAGAAAAATTATAACAGTATAAGTTTGAAAGCTTGTGCAAATTACTAACAAGTCACATAACAAGTCATCCACTGTGAACGGTAAATGTGTATCAAATCAATTATAATATATATTACTAAGTACATACATATATCATAAGCAAAAAAAGACATCCTCGAGTATACAAAATTTTGATCATTTTTTCATTAATTTTAATCACCAAACTTATTATATTTGTGCAATTCAGGTCAAAAAAATCTTTAAATCGCCAATATTTACGTAGCTGAACTGATGAGGACATAATAATCAAGGGCACTAATGAAGAAAATTGGGCACTCATTAAATGACAAAATGTAAGACTTCAAAATTTGTCTAACACGAAAATTTTACTTTTTGTGATATACTACCTCTATCCCTAAATATAAGACCCTCTCGTGATTTCTGCCACTTCGTATAAGAACCATTTCATATTTTCAACTGCATCAATAATTTTTTTACCAACATGCGGCTATAATTATGTTATATATTTTTCTGCGGCTTATGATAAATACTATGATAAAAACAAATTACTTCTCTATTTTGAAGGGTAACCTTCTAAAACAATATCAATTGTCAATAAGTTTAATACAGCTAACAACTTTTTTAATTCCCGGAAATTGATCAAGGGGATCCTATATACGGCGATGGAGTGGTATATTGGTCACGTCTGAAAGACCAAAACTGAAGAACTGCGTAACACATATAGCAGAGACCAAGTCCAACAAAAATAAAAGCAAGATCAAATACTTAGACAGTTAGAGGAACAAGGAACAAAACCTTGTTAATAGCATGCACATTATTATAACACCGTCTAAAATATCAAAATATACCTCCACTTCCAATACATTTGATGAAGATTGTGAATAGAGAAAAGGCTGACAAAGTCTTCTAAACCTTGTCTCTCCCTCACAATGAACAAACACCTCTATGGCAAATGATGGAGGTGAAGTTGCCCTGAAAAGGTTTCAAGCAATAAACTAATTGAATTCAAAATCTTCAACAGACACCCAACCAAATCATAAACAGAAAAATCCCTTGGATAGTTTGATGCGTGGGCAACACCAAAGTGGTCTTCCACTTTACATAATATAATGTGGTTGTCCAAAACTAGCACAAGCTATATCCGCAAATTACACTACAAACGAATTTAGATAATTTACTCTACAAAAAGACATGAAAAAATTCTTCTGATATCGATGAGATTTTCAAATAACTGCTCGTTGTAAATGTTGAAACTAGCTTCTACATTTCAAATTTAGCACATATTCTTTCAATAATTTTTTAATAAACACGTGTATGCTTATAAAGATTAATGCATAAACATTAAGACCGTGTTTGGATAAGCAACTTAATTAAGTGTTTATAGTATAAACACTTATCCTATAAGTGCTTCCGCATAAACTATTTCTATAACAATATTATTTCGTAGTTGATCCGTGGCATAGAGATTCGACAAAGTTTATGTTGGTTGTCGACTACCCAGCACGGTGGCATAGAGATTTCTATAACAGCATACAAAATAAAACAAATTCTAATTGTTTTCATATATGCTACAAGCTGTTTAAATAAGCTATTCTAAAGAGCTTATTGAAATAAGCTAAAAACAGTTTAACGACAAGCCATGAGTTGTTCTCATAATCTCTCATACGTAGTCAACCTCGCAAGTATATGCCAATAGATAAAATAAGGTAATCCATACAGACCCTTTAAGCCTTGAAATTGTGAATTTATTTTAGTAACTAGTACAAGTTAAATCCAAACTGACCTACATTTCCAAACAATATAATAATCAAACTGTTAACACCAAGAAAGCAACTAATCACAAAAAAACATACCCAACAAGTGGTACTGCTTGGGCAACGGATGATGCACTCTGTTCCAAAACCTCACACGCGTTGACTATTACTGGTTCTGAAAAAATTACCTGTAAAAAACAATATACTTAGTGAAACACAGTTCAAACATTCACACAACTAATCCACAGGTGAGGGAGAGTAACAACCAGAAATTAGCAAGAAACAAGCTTTGAGTAGTCTCCAGGGTAATTCGTTCAATTTTTTAACGAGAATTGGAAAGGAGAGAATGCAAGTTCAGCAGAGAAAAGAATAGATAAAAAAGAAATATGAAAGAATGAAAATCGAATGAGTGGGAATACCTCGTCGACGTACTCATCGAGATGTGAATGAACGAAGGTATGAGCGAAGAGGACGCATTGTTCTGGTCTACCCATTGAAGATTGGAAATTGGGGTTGAGAGGAGGAACATGCGAATTTTGAAATTTTAGGGTTTTGTGGATCGTCGCCGACTTAGTGAGAGACAGAGAGAGACAGAGAGATGGCGGGGGTAAAGGGAAGTTTATCACTATTCATGTTTTAGTTAAAGTTAAATTCATAAATAAAAATTTTATAATTTCAATAAAAAATGATAATTATTTCATAATATATATATATATATATATATATATATATATATATATATATATATATATATATATATATATATATATATATATATATATATATAAGACATAAAAATTATACTTATATATAAAAATAAAAATAAAATTTAAGATAAGTAAAGATTTATTTTTGTCTCTAAAAAATCAAGAGCCCAAATTTAATCTTAGAAAAAATATAAACAAATTTTAATCTTGTTTTTCACCCTTTTAAAATATCCAAAACAACAGAAAGTATCTCCCAAAATCTCATCCAGAACAGACAGAATGTCTGCTCTGATACCAATTGAAATTCTGGTATGCAGATCACATGTGTTCCAAAAATATTGATATCTGCTCAACAAGGATGAAGACAGACCATGGCCAATTTAAATTTATTTAAATTGTCCCAATGTCATGATCAATGTCACGACCTCTATTGTGACATCTGCAGTCTGTCATACTATTTTATCTAACCATTTAAAGTACAGAATTGTAAATGCAGAAAGATAAATAACACAGTAATTATTCACCCAGTTCGGTATCAACAACACCTACATATGGGGGCTACCAAGTCAGGGAGAAAATTCACTATTAGTATAATCAATTCAAAGTCAAACCTCCAGTTTGCACTTCTCACTTAATCTCTACCCAATGACACTTCAGCCTAGAGACACTCTAGTATCTGAGTATACCCACTCACTCCCCCTCAATCACACAACAGTGATATCAAACAATTACAAAAACAGTATGAAGAGACACTTCATACGCACCTTGATCTTGCTTCACAGCTTTGATCAAGGAACTCACACACTTTTGCTTCACAACTTCGAGTGAGACACAACCTAAAATCTACCTAACCAAAACAATCATCCACCAGACAATTGCTTAAATTACAAGTATTCCTAAACAAACTTTACACATGAAGACTAGCCTTCTTCACTTACAAATATGTCTACCTCAATGTATCAAAAGATACAAAGGGTGACTTACACACAAGGGACTCTCGACCCTAGACCTTTATTTTACACTCTGGTTTTTCTTGATGTGAATGCTTGCTTTTCTCCTGCTTCTGCTCCTCCTTTTATAGTCGTGCAGACTGGGCTTTGGCTGTGCAGAAGTAACAAATATTAGTTTTAACAAAATAAAACTAATTTCCACAATTCAAGGTGTTGTCCAATTAGGTCATGGCATGGTCAGCATTGCCTTGAATCTCTCCTGATATAACTCAGGGGTCATAACAAGTCTTCCTGGAATCTAGCCTGAGATAACAGAAAACCAACATGCATGCACGACTGATGTCATACGATCAATGTCATGACATTCAGTATGACATCCACTCTTCTGCAGATTTCTCTTTACACCAGACCTGGCTTCACCCAATCTTCTGCAGAATAACATTAGAAACAAGTATATTAAAGTTTCTTAAAAGGTCTCCAAGATCCTTTTATGAATACCAATACAATCTGTTCTTGTTCATAATAAATCTCTTTGACGTATTTACTGATGAGGTATTTTCAACATGGTCTCATCAATCCAAACCAATTCTATCAAGAGATATATACTATCAGATCCTTCTGTTGTCATGCAACGATGTCCTGCTTAAGACACATGACAACACACCTCACTCGCTACCTGTGAGGAACTTCATCACAACTTACCTTGTTGTGGCTGCACACCTCACACTTCCTGTGAGGAACTAGGCTACTGCTAACCCATAGCAATGCCTGTTGTGCCAGACAGCTATGTCATTACTTTGGTAATGACATCCATGACAGCAATCCTTTCTTCAGCCTCTGCTAGCTCTGGCTTGCTCTTGCTGCACTCGACCTTGATGTCAGCCTCTGCTAGCTCCTGTTGCACATAGCTCCTGTTGCACCAGATGTAATCACATGATAGCAGTTCTGTCATCAGTAGCTACTACTGCACATAGCTCCTGCTGCACCAGATGTAAACACATAACAGCAGTTCTATCATCAGCTCCTGCTAGCTCTTGCTGCACCACTACTCTTGCTGTTTCTCACACATGACAACAGTTCTGTCATGACAGCAGATGGATGTTGTGATGGATGTCACGACATTCAGCATGACATTCACATTAAAACACTCCACAACAGTTCTTTTACCAGCTCCTGCTTGCTCCTTTAGCGATGTCATAACTATGGTAATGACATCCTGCTTAACATTAGTGCAGAGTCATGTTTTACCACAATTTAGCCAATCATAGAACCGTGGACAATTCTATATCATAGAACCATGGAACTAACAAACTCCCCCTTTGGCAAATTTTGGCTAAAATAACTTATCAGGGCATTCAGCAGTAGTTTACACAAACTATCATGCTCCCCCTTGATAGTTGCATCCAGCATGGCAGCAACAATGCTTTTCCTCATCAGCAACGGTAGTTTTTCCCAGCCTCACTTACTATCATGCTCCCCTTTGATAGTTGCAACAGATAGCAACACTAGATAGCAGCACTTTTTCTTTTCTCCACCTTGGTTTAGTCAAAACTTTGACAACAAATGGAGTACTTGTACATACATATGCTCAATACAAACTGTACATACAGTCATCTCACCATCTCCCAAGAAATACACAAGTTGTTTGACCTCTAATAAGGACTGCACCACTTCAGCAGCTACACACCAGACAGGTACACATCTTCCCCTGTCAGCATAAACATTGCTCCCCCTGAAAGAGAGAACCCAAGCACATGAAGAATTACTTCATCATCTTCACACAGGCAGGTTTACACCCCTTGATTCACAACCCACACTAGAGCACATAGCAGAGGCAGTTGCAGGATTCCTATCTGAAAGATTTCTCAGATTTCAACTTTGACAACAACTCTCCAAGATGTCAGAGTGAAAGTCCTTCCTTATGCATAAGATCAAGGCTAATGGTGTCTTGATATTCATCTTCACCAATCATACACAGTAATTGGATAGAGGCCCAAACCTGATTTGATCCATTGATACCCAAGGACATCACTAAGAGCAGAACCACTGTTAAGTTCATTCTGAACATTTAACCCAATGTCACAACACCTGGTATGACATTGAACGTATGACTTTTCACTCTCCTAGAGGTATACAGTCACAAACTGCTTGAAGTCACAAGCAATCTTGAAACTGTACTATTGCAGTAACAAATCTTAGATAGAAGTATAACTCCCCATATCAATGGTAACCAGTGCACATGAATGGAAAACACAAGACGCATCTTCATGTTTTCAAGAACCCATTCTCTGTTCAACACTCATGTTGAACGCATTCACTTACTGCTTGAACCACAAGCAAGTAGTACACCCATCAAATAGAAGCTCTCCCCTATCTTTGATAACAGCTGCTCCAAGATCACCACATTACCTCTCATGACCAACTCTATGCTCATACAGAGAGAAGACACCAAACTGATTCACCTATTCCCAGAGTTACTTGTAGCAGAAGAGACCACTTCTCCACAGGTATTCTGGCCTTAGGCTGAGTATAAGATAGACACCACATAGGGACTTTATCACATCAAAATGCACTCAATACCTTCACATAATACTCCAAGATAGTCCTTTTACCTCATCATTCTCCCGTATGAGAAGATAGAGTACTTCTTAGCCAAGAAGTGAATCACAAGTTCCACAAGAGATCTTCACATATCAGATGGTTCATATCACAGACACACCATCCCATGGTTCTTTATATGCCCATACTGGACTTACTGTTGTCTAGTAGTCCAACTAAAGATCTCCATATCTACACCAGCTTTGATCAACTTGATCAACTGTATCTCCAACAATATGTAATCTTCTATACACAGCTTAGGGCTTCTACCACAAGCTCCAATATGTGAACAGAAACAGATCCTCCTTTGGTCTTCTTCTGCACATGAGTAATTAGTTCCAAGCATGAACAGTCCCAGAACCTTATGTGGTCTTCAAATAACTACCCTTCTGCACAAGAATAATCTTCTAAAGGCACACTGCTTAAATAACCAAATGCCATTGTTTGGTGATTCAGCATTTTTCAGAGCTCTAGAAAGTCTGCTAATCCACCAGGCTACTTTGATCTTCACATTCTTCTTGCTCCAAAGCAAGGTATCTACTCCTTCACACAGCTCCCGCAAACTGCAAGAAAGCCTCAAAACTTAAGATACCATAAGTTCACTCGGGAGAAAGTGTGTTCTTGTCATGGAATTGAGCCAAAGATTTGTTTATGGGATTTTCCACTTAATTAAAAAAGCTAAAAGCATTGTCAAATCTAATACACATGAAAAGTGCTTATGGTTATTACAACTAATTAATACACCAGGTTTCATTACATAAACCAAAGACAAGCCAAAATTATAAGCTGCACGAAAATCCTGGGGTGGAATCATTTGTTCTTGACAGTCCTTTAATACTCCACCAAGAGGCTCCCAACACAAATAAACGGTCTGTGCGAAAGGGTTGCTACTTCCACCGTTATCCGCCGGCAACTCGTCATTGTTGCGTGGTCAACATAACAAACAAGGATTGTCAACAGTTGAGAGTTGGAAATCAAGGCGGGTTGTTGAAAGTCGCACAATCATACTGTTACCGACGCGTATCAGTTCAATCAGGAGACAGTGTGGAGAATTGTAACTTGCCAACAAATACCCAGCCGTGAGAGGTGCAAGCCAAGAGCAACATAACCTGAAACCTGTGCAAATTATGTTTAACATTATTTCTTAAATAGGATAAATCATTTGAAACCGCCAATGTTTATAAACAGGTACTAAAGGTTGATACTCAAATGGGCGATGGATTGCACGAGCTTGTAAAC